GAATTTTTCTACCTAAATGGAGAAATGAATTCGAGAACTAGATTTTACTGGTTTTTAGTGTAACCAGGTGTAGTTGAAAACCGGAGGAATCACTCACTGGAGGCAAGTTTCTGTCACTTAAAGTACAAAATTGTTTTCGTCTTTTTACAGCCGTCGGCAGCTTCCTTCTATAACGAAGTGACAACTACTTGCCTTTCTTTGTAGCTTTTTGGACCCCCTTTTCGGTGACAGACGATAAATTAATGATAATATGTAATTCATTTATCTCTAGTATCTGATAGGCATTCTCACCTGTTGCGACGACGTTTGAGATCCTCAAACTTGCAGATTGATATGTCAGGGAAACACTTCCGTCTGAAATTTTGTCCAACCTGCTTATTCACCTGAGGCAAGGGAAAGGCTATCCAATTGTGTACTGTCTTAGCCATGACGTCACAAAGTCCGGAATCCATGCACAAACATACAAAGATCATGGTCTCTGCGATGCTTAGAGAGCTCATTGTCTCTGCCAAAGGCTTTTGTACTATTAGAAGAGTTCGCTGTGGTTTATTCGGATGTCGGTGAGAAAGTTTGAAAACAACAATTCACTGATGTGGTTGATTCTATGTTTGGATGCAAGGTCATGTTTGCACGACGGTCGGTTGTTATTGTATACCATTACTAGGGAGCTATCGGGTTACTAACATAGTTGTATTCATTGTTGGGTCGTGTGGCGTAGCGGCAGCGTGCTCGACTCGGAACCAAGAGGTTCGAGTCCTGACATGTCACCGATCTTGTGCCCTTGGGAAAGGCACTTCACACGACTTTCGAATTCCTCACTTCGCTCAGCTGAAAATGAGTATTGTAATGTCCTGTATTCGTTCTCTGCGTTGGTGGCGGCATAAAATAAGTTTATATAACTTGAGTTTGCTGTCACCATGTCTAGTTTAACTGTTATGAAATGTTGGAATATTGAAAAAAAACATGGTTCATACTTAGAACCATATACATCTGATTTTAAGGGGCCCGAACATCAAAAATAAGTTTTGATTTTCATTATGACGTCATGTATTTGATTTTTGGGCTAAAACCGTCAA